GCATTCCTGGTGGCACGTGTACCTGCAGTCTGCACGGGAGAGAGCACAGTCAGCACCTGGGACCTGCAGCTGGTTGTTGGGGAGCAGCAAGGGAACCCCGGGAGGGATGGGACTCCCACAGGAAGGCAGTGATGGTGCCACAGGTGCCAGCCTGGCACAGGTCCCCATCAGGGCATGCTCCTGCAGACAGGGAGAGGTCCCAGGATACCTTGCCCTGAGCAAAACCTGCCCTCATGTCCCCTCCATGGGGACACCTGCGTTTCTTGCTGCAAAGTTCTGGCACAGGCAGCACTCCTGCCTTGCATCCTGCTGCTTTCCCCTGACCTGCTGGCACCTTGATACACAAAGTAAAGAATATGCTCAAGTCCCACCAAGCCATCAGTTTGGTGTAGAGCACATCACTGCCCAGCTGTGCTCCTCACAGATGTCACCTGCAGCAAAAGCTGGGGCAGCCCACAAGGAAGGGCTGCTTCATTTTCCAATGTCAGGAGCAAAAAAATCATCTTGTATTAGAAGTCAAATTATTTCAGGTCACTAGATATGAAGGCTTCAGGGGCCAGTTACAGTGACCCAGGTACGGATCTACCACAAGACTTCCCCAAAAACACACCCTGGAAAGGACAGGGACACATCCCAGGCTGTCACCTCCCATCCCAGGCTGTCACCTCACACCCCAGGCTGTCACCTCCCACCCCAGGACAGTGCCCAGGTGCAGTCAGGCATTTATGGAGTGTGTTTTCTTTGGACGCTGACCCATCCTGCTGTAAGACATTAACTAGTCCAAGGTAGGAATTGCACAGATGACTCCACAGCACTCAGGTTTAACCTCTTTGGACACAGGGTCCTGCTCACCCACAGCAGCTCTGGGGCAGCACTTGGCACAGCAGCTCCATCCCTCACCATGTACCCAGGGCTGTCCTTCCCCCAGCCCTTCTGCCTTCTCCACACCCCCCTGACTGCAGCTTAACCACCTCCTGCCACTTTAATGGCCATTCCGATCCTTTTAATTTTTAACTGCCATACAAACAGCATTACATTTACTATTTGCACTACCCAAAACTCCAGAGCAGTCACCAACCTAAAAAACTGATAATAATAACCTAAAACCAAGGCAAGAGAGTTGACTCAACTGCAGGAGACAGGACTGAGTGACCATCCCTGCATGCTGCTCTAAGCCAGTCAGCTTGTATTTTAAATACCTTCTTTTTCTTTCTTTCTTCCTTTCTTTCTTTTTCAGGTCATTAGTTTTGAATATCTGGGGCTTTCAGGAAAGCAAAGGAATATCCCACATTTGCTCTGGAAACAGGGATTTCTGCTCAGCACTGCTGAACACTCATAGGTGGGAATGCCCAGGAATGACTGAGAGGAGCTGAACCACTGCAGGGAGCTGGTGCCTGAGGGGGGAAATCATCAGTCTCCAGGGGAAACAGGGAAATCATTTATCACTTAACATTCATCTGGCATGAGCTGTCTGTCATCCTCCTGCTCTAAGTCAGTTGTCTCAAGTAAGCCTGGGGGAAAGCAGGGAGACTTGCCTTTTTTTTTTTTTTTTTTTAATTAGAGATAAGCTGCACAGTTACATGGTAATTTAATGCATGACCTTTTGAGCAACTGGAACAGCCTTTTAATGGGGGACATTCACCACGTCTCTGCTGGGGGTGCCAATGTGAGGATGCACCAGCTGCAGGTTCACCTGAGCATCTGGCACCAGTCCCTTCTGCCTCTTTGGCCCAGGGTTTTCAGATCTGGGCAGCTGCCTCCTGCTCCCCCCAGCCCAGCCCCAGGGGCAGGAAGCCTCCAGTATCTCAGGCAACGAAGGCTCAGGCTGGGAGGTCTGAAAAGTGTAACATGAACCACAGAAATTACAGCTCCCAAGCACAGCTCTGGATCAGGCCAACAAAGTCCTAGTCTGGTAACACCGTGGTCAGCAGAGCCAAGAGCCACCAGGTGAGGCAGGGAGAGCATCTGGTGGGAGATCACAGCTCCTGCAAGGCACCTCTTTATGGGATTAGAGTGTGACACCTCCTTAGTCACCATCACCCATGAACAGACCTAATCACTCGGTATCCGGCAGGGAACACTAAATTTAGAAGCCCAGCACAGCTTTAGGAAGCAGCCACGTGACAGGTTTGCCCAGAGGAGCAGGATGCCTCCACTTCAGCTTGCAGATAATTCCCATTCAAGTCAAACAAAGCAACACTTGGAAATGTAGTGGTTTGGGTTGTGTTGGGTTTTTTTTTAAATACATAAATAAATAAATAATTCAGATCAGGATACTGTGAAAAACTTTGGGGGCTGAAAGGAATTTCCCAGTCTCCATAGATAAAGTTTCCCAGCAGGATAAAGTTGGATAGTGTAAAACAGGCCAACACAGATGCCCATCTGGATGCCTAAATATAGGCCTGCAGTCACCCTGCCCACCCCCCCACTCCCACCTCTTGAATCCCACAGATTCTACAAGGCATCCTTCAATCCAGCTCCTGTGCAAGCCCTGGATCTGTAGGTGGGGGTGGCAAAGGAGCAGGTCAGTGACAGAGTGACCAGATCCTGCTGCCAGCAACAAGAAAGCTTCTCTAGGCAACCTGGGCCCAGTGTCTCACCACCCTCATAGTGAAGAATTTCTTCCTAAGATCTCATCTCAGTCTCTTCTTTTGCAGATTAAACCATTCCCCCTCATCCCATCACTCCATGCCCTTGGAAAAGGTCCCTCTCCAGCTTCCCTGTAGCCCCTCAGGTGCTGGGTTTCCCAGCCAGCTCACACACCTCCAGACACCAGCTACGTGTGAGGTTTGGGTTTGACTCCACCTGACGTCACTGGGGTAACCTCAGGGATGCTGCAGGATGTGGCCCTGTGACATCTCCAGAGCTGGTGGGTGGCTCCTCCTGTCACACAGGGACAGGGCAGGACCTGTGTCATCACCACCAGCTCTGGCAGGCACAGAGCAGGCAGGGAAGGGTGTGGGTTTTCCTGTGAGGCACTTTGACACCCACCACAGCAACACTCCAGCCCCGTCCCTGCAGCTCCCCCACGGGGGTCTTAGCAGTTTTAGGTCTAAAGCAGGTGGTTTGGGGTTAGTTTGCAAGCCCAGGTGAATCCCAAGGGTGGGTTTCTGCTTGTTCAGAGCAGACAAGACCCCCCGGCCCTGTGACATCTCCAGAGCTGGTGGGTGGCTCCTCCTGTCACACAGGGACAGGGCAGGACCTGTGTCATCACCACCAGCTCTGGCAGGCACAGAGCAGGCAGGGAAGGGTGTGGGTTTTCCTGTGAGGCACTTTGACACCCACCACAGCAACACTCCAGCCCCGTCCCTGCAGCTCCCCCACGGGGGGTCTTAGCAGTTTTAGGTCTAAAGCAGGTGGTTTGGGGTTAGTTTGCAAGCCCAGGTGAATCCCAAGGGTGGGTTTCTGCTTGTTCAGAGCAGACAAGACCCCCCTGGTGACAACCATGCCCCCGAGAGGTCCGAGCTCCATAGCAGGGTCTGGAGCACAACCCCAGCTGCCTGGCAGATGCTCTTGAGCCATTATTTACCAAAGGCACATTTTCCCTTGGAGTGGCAAATGAGGCAGCACCAATGCCCTGAGCTGTGCCCTGCTGCAGTGCTCCCATGAGAGCAGGGCTGCAGAAAGAGCTGGAGCAGAAGTTGAAGCTCCCAGAGCTGTGAGCAGGAGAGTGTTCCAGCCCCGTGCTAGCTGGGCAGGATCCCACCCAGGGCTCTGCAGCACAGGGCAGCACCCCAGCAACGCACTCACACCCCATCAGCACTGCAGCAGTCAGCAAACACGCCCCAACACACCAATTCACACCCCCACCTACCTCCAACCAGCAGGACCTCCCTGCTCGGCCTCCTCAGCAGCTGGAATCCCTCAGACCAAGACTTGGACTTGGGCAAATGCCTGAACACTTTGCGAATTCTCTTTGCTGCCAGCCCAAAGCAAGTGGCTGCTGCTGCCTTCCCATCTGCCATCCTTGGGGACAGGGGCTCAGAGGCTTCCTTGGGCACACAGAGCCCAGCAGCTCTTCCACCCTGAAGGCTGCTGAGATGCAACGTGCATGGGTCCAGGTCACGTCTGCTTCCATGAGAGGCTTTTCCTCCCACGGAGATAAAACATTGACATTGTCCATTTACAACCTGCTGCCATTTGAGGGGTTTATTTATTTAATTTTTTTCAGCAATGAGGCAACACACAGCACAGAGCTTGTGCATCTCTAGGCTTGTCCTCTCAGCCATGGAAAACTTTCTATTTCTGGGGCTTTTTGCCTGATAAGATAAAACAACCCAACAGAAGAGATTAGAGAGAGAAAGCACAGGACCCCGGCACACGCTGGGAGGGCTCTTTCCAAAATCTCCTCTTCCCTTTGTTGCTTTTCCCCTGCAGTCTTCTAAAGTTTAAGGAAAAAAAAAAAAAGTCCCCAGTGTTTAAACAAAGGCTCAAGTAAAGGAACACACTGAGATTGACTAAATTTATAACACTGATTAAACTCTGCACAGTTAACCAGTTTTTAGAGCACCGTCCTTTCACAGCAACTATCAGCCACTGCTGGGCCAGGTGTTGAATGATGGGGTGAGACACAAACATCAATCCAACAGCATGTTTGAAACCCACCACTTTGTACCCTCAATGTCAAGACTGTTCCCTCTCTGCTCAACATCCTCTGACAAACAGACCAAGTTTCCCTGCACAACACATTCTTGGTTTTATACCGGGAATAACAACAAAGAAATGTAACTAATCCTAAAACCCCCACCAAGCAGCATCAGCAAGGAGTTAAACAAAACAGGGAACTTCCTCGTTCAACCCTCACTGTCCCAACATCCAGACAGTAAAAAAAAATCCTGCTTCCCACACCAGGAGCAGCAAACAACTAAACCTATTTAGATGAAGCGGGAGAAGAAAAGGGACAGCGCAAAAACTGACCTGCAAAGTAAGACCTGGAGCCTTGGTTTGTGTCTCTCTCCATAAATCCTTCCCAAGGCACTGGACTGCAGCAAGAAACATGTCCCCGAAGCCCTAAACTGCCCCAGGAGTCCCAGCAGCTTGCCACAAGGCTCTGAGCAGGTCATTGTCCCTCCCCACTCCTCCATCTCCCCCAGGCAAGCAAACACCCTGCCCTGGGGAGCCTTGGCAGGTGGGATGCACCACAACATCCCACCCCATCCTTATCCAACCTCCATAAGCATCATCCCAACCTGCCCAAGTCACCTGGCACCGGGAGAAGCCTCAGGAATCTGTCTGGACCAGCTAAATAGGACAGAAATGCAAAGCACTGTGGGTCCTATGAACTGCTTGTAATTAGTATTTACAGTGGCAAGACCAGAGACACGACAGAGCGTGGGAGGACGTGTTGGAGGAAGAGAACATGAAAAACCACCGTGTCCCAGTGAGTGCCAGTAGCATGAGCAGGGCCTCAGCCTGGCAAGGTTGGGCTTTTTTAAAGAGCGTCCACACTTGCTAAGGAATTCATTATCTTAAGTAAACATCTAGTTGAGAACCAGTAATGTTACAACTGTAGTTTGTTCTACAAACTAGAAAGAGAAAAGGTGTGTGCCCAACCAGCTTCCTCCTTAAGGAAATGGGTCCTGATTCAGCACAGCACTTGAATGCAGAACTAACTGCTTGGAGAGATAAGGGTGGCTTCAGACCAGAGGCACAAACTGAAGTGCTTTCTTGACCCAGGTCCGTGTCACAAGATGTACAGACCAAACCTGCCTGCAGGTACAACCATATTGGTCACCCCCATCACCGGGCGCGCCCCGAGGTTGCCCCCGAGGCAGCAGCCACAGGCACCTGCCCAGCAGGGCAGCACGGGGAGCCAGAGTGGTTTTCCTGCAAAGAGGCACTTCAGCCAACAAAGTCCTAGTCTGGTAACACCGTGGTGAGCAGAGCCAAGAGCCACCAGGTGAGGCAGGGAGAGCATCTGGTGGGGATGGCAGGGAGACCACAGCTCCCACAGGGAAACAAACCAACTGGTGATGGTCACACCAGGTGTGATGGATGCATCCAGTTTATCGGGGGAGAGAGGAAGGGGAGGGAGGGGACACACTGCTGGGCGGGTCTTACTGATGGTTTCACTAAAGGCTGCAACACCAGACACAGGAATCACAGCACGGCAGGATGAGAAATTCCCCCAGGAAGAACTGGCCCAGAACGGCAGCAGAGCAGCTGATCCACACCCGGGTTAGGCTCCCACATCATTTTTCTACCTCAAGCCATAAGATCCTCACTCTCCAGTGACCAACCTGCCCCGCACAGCCTGCAGACCCTGAGTCACCAGCCCGGGGCTGGCAGGGGAAAAAACAAAATGCAGCTGCAATCCTGAGACTGCAGCAGTGACACTGAGGGAGCCCTTGAGTCGAGCCCGACTGCCCTGTCTGTGCTGCTCTCACCGGCATCCTCCCCAAACCAGGGACTGCCCCCAGCACGCAGCTCAGCCTGGTTTCTCTGCTGTCCCCACTCCAAAGCAAAATAAACCAGGCTTGAAGGCTTTGAAGCTGCGTGAGTCACCTCGGCATCCAAATGACTGCGCTCCACCCCGCCGGAACAAACACCAGAAAAACCCACGGCAAAGATGCACCTCTACAACCTGCCTGGCCAGCCCCCTTCTCCCCACCCGCAGCAGCCCCTTGTGCCAGGAGAAGCTGCTGGCACCAGGACACATTTACACTCCTACAGTCAGATTATTATTATTATTATTATTATTATTATTATTATTATTATTATTATTATTATTATTATTATTATTATATTTTAAATGTTCATTTCAGTTCTGAAAGGCACCAGCAGCACAAAGCCACATACATTCCTTGAGAGACACTCAAGGCACAGCTTACTCCTCATGCCCAGTTGCATTCATTTTGAGACCAAAACCAACGCACACCAGCTGGACAGCCCAGGGTTGGTCACTGCTGAGCTGCCACTTCCCCATCTCTTCGTGCTGACACCAAGGGGAGCAGCGTGCCTGGTGTCTGCCACACACAGGACAGACCTAGAGGCTCCCAGGAAAGGCAGTGAAAAGGCTCCTGGTGTCTCAGACATCTGCATCAGCCCCAGACACAGCACCCCTGGGTAGGACTTGAGCAAAAATCCTCAGTAAGAGCCTGTCCTCTGCCTCCAAAGTGCTCTGCAGCCACAGACCAGCTCAGGACAGTATAAACCCACCAGATGCCCAAGGAAAGCCAACCAAGGGGATAATTTGCCTGATTCTGGAACTTGCCATGTCTCTGCTCCCCCTCTTCCCACTCAGCCTCTGGCTGGAAGAGGAACCCCAGGGCACACACCCCACAGTGGCCGTGGGAAGACAGCTCCTCACTGCTTGAGAAAGGGGAAATGGAGCTGAGGGGATTTCAGTGCCTGGCTGGTGTGAAGGGCACGTGGGCAAAAGCCCCTCCTCACCCAGCAGTGGGACCAGCTCCTGCTGCCCTTCCCCTTGTCCTGGGCAGACCCAGCCCTTCAAGCTCCAAAGATTCCCCTCTCATTGGGACCAGGCACCATCCCACACAGGACACGGTGCCCACAGCCTCCACAGGATGGGACACAGACCTTTGGGGGAGGGTGGAGGGATAAATACCACTTCCACGTTTTATTAAAGCCAAACAGATCTGAGGTAAATAAAAATAAGCCAGAACGGTACAAATTAAACCTGAGTGCCCTCAGGCTGCAAGTCAAAAGCAAACAAGCAGCAACTCTGCATCAGAAGAAAATGAAATATTCACCAAGGGGAGACAGCACATCCAGCCTGCAGCTCTTGGGCACTGTTAAAAGGACACACTGTCAGGATGACAGGGAATGCAGGTGAACTTAGGAGCATCCCCACTGAAGCTTCCCCATCCCCCCCCTCCACACACACCCCCAGCCTGGTTGGTTGGGGAATTCTAGAGGCAGAACTATTCCCACAGCCTGAAGAACTCTCCTCTGAAATGAAAAGGGAAACAGTTCTTTCAGATTTGTTTCAATCTAACTACAGAAAAGAAAACCTTCTCCCCAGAAGCCCCTCAAAACAAATATTGATAGTATTTGCAACACCACAAAATTCTGTGAATCATTACTTCAGGTCAGGATTTCAAAACACACAGCCCAGTCCTCAATCTCACGTGTGAGCCCTGAGACAGGGTTGCTGGACGACTGGTGGAAAGCAAGAGACCAAACAGAGCTTGTTTTGCTTCAAATAAACCCACAATGTTTCTCTAAGCATGTTCATTCACAGCTTTGCTCCGGTGGGCCAGGCACAGCAGCACCACCAGCCCCAGGGAACACACTGGTCCTTACTGAGTTTTGAGGAAGTTAATCAGGAATAGCAGGCAGAAAGACAAGGTACACACCAGGAACACACACTTACATCACCCTCTTTCACACCACACACCAGGCAGCAAGTCCACCAGCCCCAGTGTACCCGTGTCACGTTGTACCCGGCCGCGTGGGGAGGGCTGGGGTGCATTTAATTAACAGCAATCAGTGCTAAACCCTTCATGTGATGCAGCAGGGCCATATGGTGCCGCTGCCTCTCCCAACTGCCCTTCGTTTCCAGACGGCACCAGGAGGGATGGGAAGAGCCCTGCTCACACCACACTATGCAAATCACTGCTAGAAACATTTAATTGCTTCATAATCTCAGGAAAGCCAAGTGTAAGAACCAGGATGGGCTGAGTGAGGGACTAATTGCCCCAGCCAAGCTGGTGTTGCAGCACGTGCCTGGTACAACCCCCCCCACAAACCAGCAAATGAGCAATAAAGTCTCCTGGGCAGCTGCCAACTGGGCAGCTCATTCCCTTGCCCCAAATCACCAATTACCTGCCTCCCCCACCACCAACACTGAGGGGACCCCCACCCCATATGTGCCCCCCACCCCGGGCATGGGCAGCCTTGTGGTCAGAAGCCTGGGGTGGTTGGTGTTGGCATCAACAGCTTCTGCCAACAATGCGGGCTGAGCTGACCCCGAGCAGCAAACCTGCGGGGGGCTGCAGCCCGA